TTCTCACCTTTGTACCTCCTGCTTGTGCCTCATATAAAAGCCCTACACCACCAGAGATTAGGACCTGTCATTGTAAATAAATCTGCCTCCAAATCCTGGGTGTCATTTCAGTGTTCCTGCTTCCCTTTGCAAGGAGACTGAGACAGGGGAATCACCATGGGTTCGAGACCAGCCTGGGCTACATAGTGAGTTCAAATCCAACCTGAACTACATACTGAGATGCTGTCTCAAAACACCAACCAATCAGTCAGTATAACAAATAAATAGGGGCTGGGGATTTAGCTCAGCGGCAAAAGCGCCTGCCTGGCAAGCACAAGGTCATGAGTTCGGTTCCCAGTACCGGAGAAAAACCAAAAAAAACAAAAACAAAAAAAAAAAACAAAAAACAAATAAATAGAGCTTATTTGTGCACAGTGTTTTACAAGCATTGTATCATACTAATTGGTCACTCTTCTGAGATAGGAATAATTTAAAATAAATATTTGCTAAAGCATAAGATGCACATGTGTGTAAATGTAATACAAGTTACTTTTTATAATAAAAAAGGTGAAAGGAAGGTACTTTCCAACCCTCCAGGATAGCAATAGTTTCTGGGAAGATTTGCATAGACTTACTTCAAAGCCATTCATAAACTTTCCTGGGAACCATGCAAAAGACAGGAGGGTCCCAGTGCTGCTACTCGCGGACCTGTAGGCCAGCCAGGAGGGTCCTCTCCAGACAAAGCCCTGCCTCACTCTTCTCACTACCAAGATGGGAAGGGTGACCCCAGAAGGTCTCTGCCTAATGAGGGAGACCCTTCCACTTGGGTCACAGCACTTTACTGATCCCCATGTGTTTGTTCTGTTAGGAGCCCGTGCTCCATGCTCAGGGCTGTAAAAAGATGCATAAAATGCTGTCCCTTTCCCCATGAAGTAGCCTTGTCAGCAGAGGGAGTCAGCCTTGCAGAATTTATAAACAGCATTAAGCACTCCTCCACCTCTCTCTGCTCCCCTGGAACATGTACTTCAGTTCCAGCATGCAGGACTTTGGTGGTAGTGGTTTCTCTACATGTGTATCTCTCTTGCCTATCATATGTAAGGGCTTGATCCCTAGCACCTCAGAGCTAAAAAGAAAAGGATGTTTATTTCATTCATTCATCCATTCATTGAGCAGAAATCATACAGAAGTTCAAGACAGGGAGTGAGAGGGTTTGTGGGAGTTTGTGGCCCTACGTGGCAGGGTAGCCTATTCACTGGCTCATATACAATGGGAAGAACTGGGGCAGGAACATGGGAAACAGAGACGGGTAAACCAAGGCAAGGCATCCAGGATGAATGGGATTGATTACTGTGTCTGGAATGCATTGTGGATAAGGCTAGAAGGAGATCTTGAGATGGTGTTATGGTTTGTGTCTGCATGTCGCCACAAAGCCTCATGCAGTCATGGGGCAAGCTTTTAGAGTTTATGACTGATCCATGATCCAATGCTGGGATTATGGTTGTGAGTGCTACACCAGCCCTGGGGCAGATAGTTTGCATATGTAAGGGAGGGAAAGAGGTTGCCTGCCACCCCTCCACCCTTTTGCTCTTGTTGCTCTTGCTGTTTTCTGCTGCCATGTGCCATGTGCCATGTGCCACTCTGCCTTGGAGCCAGCCAGCTATGGACTGAAACCTCCACAACCTGTGAGCTAAATAAATCTTTCCTTCCTTGATTTGCGGCATTGGGTATTTTGTCTCAGCCATGAGAGAAAAGTAACCAAGACAGATGGGATCAGAAAGAGCATGTTTGGCCAAGTCCTCTTTCCAAGTGGAATTACACAGAATCCCCCCCTCAGCGTGCTCAGAAGCTGCACTGCTCTGGAGAAGGGCAGAAAACAGGAGCATAGGTGGTTTTCTGGTAGAAAACTGGACCTGGGGTTTGTCTTCCCCCACTGCATGGAACATAAAGAGAATGCTACCTCATAACAGCAGAACTCAGGCCTGTGGGCAATGCTGACAGTACTTCCTCAGGGCAGGGCAGAGCAAGCCACTATAACCCAGAGTACCACCTCGATCCTGGCTCTGTTGTTACAAACAGCCTGCCCCAACCTCTCTCAACTGTACACTTTCCATTGTAAAGTGAAGTGGACTATCACGTCACCCTCAGCACTCTCAGGAGGCTTGAATGCAGAGGTACTGTTATAACCCTATGGGAACAACACTTCTCCCATACATGGGGCCACAGCTGTTAGCTATTATTGTTCCTTCTCTTCTGTATACCTTGGTTTCCTCATCAAAATGGAGATAATAATACCTGTCCCAGCCCATTTCCTTCAGACCCTAACAGAATAAAATGCAATTAAATGTGTGAAAGCAATTTGGAAGTTAAGCACTCCAGAGCAGCATGACGGTGGTAGCACTGTTAATTACCGTAGCCTGGGCTGAAAGGCAGAGAACTTTCCTGTCTCTGGCCATGGGCCACAGGTGTGTGACTGTGACTATGACTGTCCTCTCCGGATATGATATGTCAAGGTGAGGGCCTCAGCCTTGGACTGCTTCAAGATTACATAAACATGGAAACAGGAAAATGTACCAAGCAAGACATAAATAAGGTTTAAGCTCTGCAGCCTTACAAGGGCTGTAATTTCCAACATCGTAGTCTTGGACATCTGGGCCCTATTACCTGAAATCCCATTAAACCTTCAACTTCATAATTCTGTGTAGAAACTGGTAAATTGCAAGATCCTGCGGATGGCCACCAGCCAGTTCAAGCAATTAATCACAAGAGTCCCCAAGCAGATTTGTGGCGGATGCCAAGTGGATTCTTGACGGGGAAACTGTGTACACAAAAGAAAGCGCCCAATCCACACAGTTTCATAGCAACACGCTTTGTAACTCTGCCCACACAGAGAAATTATCTGTTATCATTAAGACATCCAAGCCTCATAACTTTTTCCTCAATGGAAATTAGTAATCACCAGCCCAGGAACATCTCCAATCTCATTAACCATACTACAGCCTGGAACCTGCTGAGAGCGGAGGACTCCAGTTTAGACAAAACCCAGCCCTTCCTGGTCCACGCACGCCCTCAGCATGCGCTCATTCGGGGCACTCAACTCAAACTGAGTGCTTTGTTTTTTCCTGTTAAGCCTTCCTAGGACAATCGCTAACCTGCGACTGTCCCTGTGCTCCAGACCAGAATCGCACGCACTGCGGTGTAACCATGAAGCCTGCCTTTGGGAAAACACAAAGTAAAAGCCTCCTGACAAAGGATCTGCATGTCGGGAGGCTTCTGGCTTGATTCTGCCAAGTCAGAGCAGTTGATGTAAACGAGATCATCTCCTCCACTTCAGAATGTTTATGAAGTTCTTCCTCATTACTGTTTTGTATACAGAGTGCTTCTGGGAACATGATAAAAACGGAGGAAGCCTGGAGTCTTCCCTGTCTAGGGCAGGAAGGGGTCAGTGGGAATCAGAACAGCTACAGGGTGGGGAGCAGGCCTGGAGCTGTTGTGGTTTCTTTTTTGCGGAACCTTTTCACAACTTTCCCTGGAGCCCGGACCTGCCGGGTGGTCCCGGTCCAATAGGGTAGGCACTAGGCACACATGAGTGGCCACTGCAGTGCAAATGAATTAAATGTAAGTCATTTCCTCCATGTGTTCGCCACATCTCAAGGGCTGAGCTGACACACAGGTTGAGTGGATACCTCTGTGGCCTTGCTATTCAAACCGGGATCCTGGGATAGCATCCCTGGTATCATTTGGACCCTGTAGGGAATGTAATTAACAGCATGCCCAAGTAGCACTCATACACACATCAAAATTTGAGAGTTACTGTTCTGAGGCCTTTCTGCTCTAAAATTCTCTATGTTGAACTGCATTATTTGTTACCAGCCTTATTTGTTAATTTTTTTCCTCTTGCATAGCAGTGTTTCATGAAGGCACTGCTAGTCCCTTGAGACTTGGCAGGCAAAAGGAAAAAAAAAACACTAAGTATAGCTTGCAGACACTTATAGACATGTGCCTTTCTCTTTCTCTTCAAAAAGCCGTAGAGAATAGAGTGTGATTTTGCTTTATTTTTTTCAAATACAATTTTTCTAAGAAGTGAATCTTAGGGAACATTTTTTCAATGAAGAGACTGTTGGACTGGTCAACAGAGAATCCCTTGAAATTAAAGAAGATCAAATAGAGAAAAAGACAAAGAAAGATACAGGAACTTTTTTGGCACCAGGAATTGAACACAGGGCCTCACAATTGCCAAGAATGCACTGTGCCACCAAGCTATATTGCTGGGCCTGATGAACTTTTTAAAAAGCACTTAGCATGCCTGAGGCCCTGGAAGGTTTGTGGGGTTTTTTTTGTTTTTTTTTTTGTCTTTTTTGAGACAGGGTCTCGTTATGCAGTTCAGGCTGGCCTTGAGCTCACTTTGTAGCCCAGGCTGGTCTCGAACTCACAAGGATTCTCCTGCCTCAGCCTCCCAAGTGCTGGGATTACAGGCATGCACCACCATACCTGGCAAGGCCCTGGATTTAATCTCCAGCACTGTGAAAGAAAGAAGGGAAGGAAATGTTAGGGTAAACTGAGGCACAGCTGAGACCACCAAGACAGGCAGAGTTTAAGCAACATGAGAGGACTTTGGTCAGGCCAAGGGCAAAAGGACCACAGGCCCTGAGCAAGTGGTGAGAGTATGTCTTATACGGGAGCTTAGGTAGGGAAGGGGTTCCTGCTGAAGGGGGTTTGGAAACTCTTGAGCTTCTGGGGTTAGGGTACAGGAGGCCTTTTGTGGCTTCTTTATGTTTGACCTAACTTTCCTTCTTGAGTCTGGCAGCCAGAAGGTTTTCTGTTGTTTATCATGCCCTGCCCATATGAGAGAGTTGGTCAGCATGAGGTTTTTCTTTTCTGTCTGGGCAGGGTCATACAGTTGGGTGGTGGCCTAGTTCAGAAAACTGACTAGAAGGGAGGGAGGGAGGGAGGGAGGGAAGAAGGAAAAGGAAAGGAAAGGAAAGGAGAAAGGAAAGGAAAGGAAAGGAAAGGAAAGGAAAGGAAAGGAAAGGAAAGGAAAGGAAAGGAAAGGAAAGGAAAAAGAAAAAGGAAAGGAACTTAGTTATGCAGTTGACATTCAGGTACCATGTTCTGTGACTAAGTCATCTAAGGCACAGGAGCAATGAAGGAAATTAGAAAACAATGTCTCAAATACACTCTGCTAGCCAGTCTGACATTGTGGAGAGAGAAGGGAATTTCATTTGCATCTTGGATTAAACTTCAAGGTATATTTTCATGCTGTCCCATGAGATTTGTTGTTCAGGCCAATGGCCAGCCTTTTTCTGGAAGGTTCTAGGGGCTTTTATCGTGGCTGTCGGAATGCAGTGACAGGAGACCTTTACCTCTTCGAGTGTGAGGCACAATGGTCACCCCTGGCTGATTGGCTGTGCAAATACACCCCTGCTGCGAGTAGCTGGCCTAATGGTCCTTCAGAAATACAGTGCATCATGTCATGTTCACACCGTACAAGGAAATAATCCACTATTGGCAGCCTTCTAGTTCAAGACGGGCATAAACCTGAGGGCAGTTTTGTTATTTTCCTGAGGAAGTGATTCCTGAAGACTGAAGTTAATAGATGTCCTCAGTGATCACAGAAATTTCATAAAGTTCGGGTACCCGCATACAGTGAAACCAAGTCTCATTAGAGAACATTACAGCCCCCAACAGTTCCACCCACCCTCGAAGGAACTTCCAACTCCTTCATGTAGCTCTCTTCAAACATTCATAGATGTATCCATGCACACATTCCACAAGCACTTCAAGAACACCTTTGATATTTCAGACATGCCACTCCATTCTACAGAGAGAGAAGAATGAGACATACTTTTTGCCTGAGGACCCTACTATTTAGAGGAATATTGTTTCAAGAGAGAGGCTCAGACCGCAAACCACTGTCCCCTGTGTCGTTGTCAGAAATCAGTTCCCAAGCCCACCCTAGACCTCTTCAATCAGATTCTTCCTATTTGAAGCCCAGAGTAGTGTTTCACCAACCTCTGGGGAACTTCCAAGCGCTGTACAGCTTGAGAGGCACTAGAGTAGGGACAGATCCATCATCAGGTGATTCTGGTAGAGTGTGCTACAGACTCTAACACAGTGTAATGATATAAATCTGAAACTCCTCAAGCCCTGTACCCCCCAGGCACTGCAGGAGCTTTTAGTAAGTGTTCAGAGGAATAAATGTTGTTTGATGCATGAGTAAACCTGCAGAAAGCACACAGTATTGGGATGACAACACGCCTGAGGCTCTGGGATTCCAGATGGTGTAGGCCGGCTTGGTCCATCTTGAAGCCGCAGCTGTCTGTCCCATCTTCAGCCCCAGCATTTGCATTTCTGTGCTGCATCTCATGCAGAAATCCTGGTATTTCGTTATATGAAGAAAACAAGGTTTTAAGCCACATTTTCCCACAGTCTATATCATTTTTCTCAGTCTGAAAGACAAATAACTACTGTGTAAGTACTGGGAGAAAAACATAGGTGTGCACATGGATGGTTGCCAACCTGACATCATAAGAGTGGCTGAGCTTCTTGTTAAAGGCAGAGTTTGCCAGTTTCCCCCAGACCCCAGAATCCATGGAGATGGAGAGGGGCTGGCCACAGTGAAAATTTTAAGATGCTCCCTGAGGTGAGTGTGCTGTAGGCAAGTCTGGACACCTCTGGCTGAAATGTCAGTTTTTAAACCCCAGACTGTAAGGATTCAATTTCATCCACAGGAATCAGAGTTGGCTTCTGAGAGGTTTTCTTTTTCCACAGTCAAACTTTTACATTTTTATTGATACACAATCATTGTAAATGTCTGTATACAGTAGATAATTTGATACCTGTATGCATATGTGATGACCAAGTCAGGATAGCTAGCATTTCCTTCTCCTTGGACATGGAGATGTCTGAGCCTCATGGAGTAGGGTCACAGTCTTAATTGTCAAACAGTAAATAAATAGTAAACCAACCTAGGGCTGAGGCAGAGAGGAAGGGAGCTCACATAGAGTGCGTCTCTTGCTCATCTTTCAGTACCTGTAGGAAGGGACAAGTTTACTCATCTCCTGAGCCTTCCAAAGCTCTCCAGAGAGAGGGGGGCCCTTCAGCCACAGGGGAATGTCAAGGCCAGACAGCAAAAGGTTCTCTGAGAGAAGCAGGAGCTAACCATGTCCTCAGCGGGACACTTTCAGTGAGGGATAAGCTGGTGAGAGATGGAGGCTGGGGCCCTCCTATCCCACGAAGTGTTAACAACTGCCTAAAAATGTTCCCACAGGGTCTTGAGACCACATGTTTCCTACCTAACATTTGTGAAATTGAGAGTCCCTGACATTTCTGAGCCAGAGCAAAGGTCATAGCCTGACCTCGTGGCTGCAGCCTGCATTGGGCCTTCATCTCTCCACACTTGGCTTTGTTCGTCTGTGCAGTGGGGGGGCGTGGCGTGTACCTACCTGGGTTGTGCTGAATGAACACAGGTCTTATCATAGTGGTAGGCACACAGTACGTGCTGGGTGCATGAGAGTGTTACCCAGAGTTCTCCATAGAAATAGAACTCCAAGATGGAGGCTCACCTGAGAGGGAGACTGATAGAAATTGGGTGGCGTAGTTGTGGGATTCTACAGACTGGAGACCCAGCAGAGATAATAGTATATATAGTTCCACTCTGACTCTCAGTCCAGAGGTGGAGTAGGCAGATACCCCATCAAAAAGAAAGAAAGTACTAACCATGGTTACTCTCCTGTAATCTTGTTTTGAAATTTTACACCATTGTTTTTATTTGTTTTTCTTTTCTTTAAAATAAAAAAAGTATGATCTCTGTGTCAGAATATTACCAAAAAAAAAAAAAAAAGATAGAGAGAGAGACAGACATTCAAGCAGAGAGAGTAAATTATCCCTTACTTAATCTGTGGTTCGAAGCCTTCAGCAGATTGAATCTCCCCATATGAGGGAGGCCCTCACGCCTTTCTCAGTCTACAGTTCAAACATTAATCTCACCCACAAGCACCTTCGCACATCCAGAATAATATTAACCAACTGTCTACACACGCTGTGGCCTAGTCAAGTTGACCATAAAACTAACCATCACAGCCTCATTGTGATTCCCAATTTCCTGGGGATTGTGGGAAGTTACAGGCTAGTTTGTATGTATCGCCTGTCTCATTATTCCCTTAACCCAAGTTCTCTGCCATCCTGAGAACTGCTTTGTTTGAGATTTTGATCTCCATGTTCACCCAGGCAGAGGGTAATGTTGATTTCTTACTCATACCCTTGTTGAGAACATATCCCCCTAATCTCTTGGTAGGGAAGAAGTGGCAAAAATGGAACCAGTGTCACCAAGAATAGATACAATTTCTACCACCAGTAAGGCTGGTAGCAGTTTTATGGCCACATAAATCAGCTTTTGTCCTCCTTTTATTTCCTTGCTTCTTCCGTATATTCTGATTAATTAATTGAGCATACCTGTCTAAATCATCCCATCTTGATTCTCATAATGGCATGCCTATGAGAGTTCGAGAACGTGGAAGTGATTTAGTATTAGAGGTTTTGATTACACTGAATGTAAAATCAAATAAAATGAGAAAATGATGAATAGAAGAGGGGAGGGAGGTTTGAAATTAGCCCTATTTCCCGTACATATAAGAGGCCCACTTAGGTTCGTTTTTCTCTTGGCCTATTTTAGGAATAATATATTCAGCTCACGACCAGGAACAGAAAATAAGCAAGCAACTCTGTCTTCTAAACCAACCTCAGCACTTTGGACACTTTGAGCTGGACCATTCCTTGTTGACCCGATGTCGTGTGCACCCTAGGACATTTAAGTGTGTCCCTGACCTCTGCCCTCGAGATGCCAGTGGTGCCACCCAAGTTGTGAAACCCGAAATATCTTCAGGCAATACTAGTTGTGCCCTAGGAGGCAAAACTGCACCCAGCAGAGAACCAGTGCTCCATAGGAAAGATTTCAAACTGTTAAAATAGAAAAGAACTACCTTTCTCTAAGGCAAACTGCTTTTCATGTCACTCTATGTGTTGGATTCATGTTTAAAGAGAAGCCACTTATCCAACACAGTTTCTTTGATTTTTTTTTCTTGCATTGCTTCTGAGTTCGAGAATTTGTGCTCTGCTGGGGGTGGAGCTCAGTGGCAGTGTACTTGACTACTATGTGCAAGGCCCTGGATTCCATCCCTAGCATTACAAGGAGAAAAAAGAAAAAGAAAAGAATTTTCTTCCTTACTGTCGCAACTCTTAATGAGGCATTGTACATATGCCAGACACTGCACACTGTATTAGGAAGATACACAAGAGACGTGGCACTGCCCTCGAAGGACTGAGGGGGAAGACTGGGGTCTAGGTTAGTGGCAGAACATTTTCCTGGCATGCATCAGGCCCTGGTTCGATCCCCAGTGCTGAGAAAAGAATGTAGGAGGAGCAATGGCTATGTTAAAATAAAGCGGACATGGTGATAAAAGTTCAACCCAGGCTAGCACAGAAAAGGGAGTAGCTAACTGTATCCGCGGGGAAAGAAGCTTTCATAAAGAATGTGACCCTCGGGGATATCAGGAAAGATGGAGCATTTGGTGTTTATTCGTGTCTGAGGGTTTACAAGAAGACACCCTAGACAGAAGGAAAGGTTGAGCGAAGGTCAGGGGCAGCCCACTGCCCAGGAGGAGCTAGGAGGAGTCTGGGGCAGATGCAGCGTTGTGTGTACTGTATCGAAGATGCCTATGGCCCTCTACAGAGCCAGAGCTATTTAATGCAAGCTGCCACTTTGCGTTTTGACCGCATGGAGCCTTCAAGATGTGAATTCTGTTGCTGATAACAGAAATTTCCGGCAAGGCAATGACAGCAGAGCCCACAGCCATACATGTGTGATAGGAAGACTTACTTTGCCATGTACCTCACTCACACAACCTGAGTAAATGAGGACCTCTTGTTTCCACACAGAGACCAGCTCACCACGGTGATCCATTCAAAGGTGACACAGTGCTAACTACTCAGACATCAAAGAAGGTTCCTGAACGCCACGGAAAGATGGCAAAGAGGACATCAGGCCATGGCACACTTTCCACCGTGGCATCCCTCTTGCCGGGGCCCCAAACCTCCTGCATCGTTCCCTAAATCCCCAGTTTGTCTATAGGTGCCCTCTACTTCTTGTGTATTCATGTCTTATGGGAGTTAGGCTCACGCCACTTCTGCGCCTCAACCTCCTTATGCAGAAAATGGGAATGTGAACTATAGAGTGTTCGGTTTATATCCATGGGTACAGGGGCCAAGCTGCTTTATGCTCAGATTAGACACATCTGCCTTCCATCAGCTGTTGGAAGGCCCTGTCGGAAAGAATCATGGCTATTTGGCTGATAGACCTAGTTATCAATTCCTGAAAAGGATCCAAAGTATAGCAATTTACTAGAGCTAACTTTGTATTATCCTTTTTCCTTTTATAATTTTTATTTTATTTCATAGGTTATTCATAGTAATTCTTTTTTCAGGATCACACATTTTCCAGATCTGATTTTAGCTAAAGTATTGTCAGTTCCCTAGAAACCTGCACTGTTCTTCAGGCTGTGTTATTCCCTTCCGGGAAGGCCCAGACAGATTTTTTTACCAACAGTGGTCTCTACCCACCTCCATAATACGTACTAACGTGTTGTCTCTTAGTAGAAAATATGAAGTATTTCCTAGTGAGTGGAAACAGTCATGACATTTTAATTAGTCAGTGTTCCTGGGTCAAGTCTGCACCCCTGTGAGCCTAATTTTTGTTGAAATTTTGCAAAATATTGTGACAATAATATGAATCCTTGCACCTTCACATACTTCTCTCTGTATGTGTGTAAGTTGTGTGTTGTAGAATATCATAACTGCTTATCATGTTGCTACATACTCATTATAACTGGTATTACTTAGGTGGCCATTTATCCATCCATCTTGCTAATGTACCATAATTTACTTAACCTAAATTTTCAACAATAAGAGATGGGTTGCTTCCAATGTTTCCTCTATTATTCATAACCTCCAGCTTACATATGTTTGCATGTAAGCGCTTTCTTTATTTTATATTATTTCCTTAGGGTACACTCCTAGAAGTGAGAGCACTAGATCAAGGAACATAATTTTTTATAGTTTTTAAATAAATTGACATTTTCCCAGTTCACATTGCTATTAGCAACATATTAGTATCCTTGCTCTGTAGCTTTGTTAGAAGTCTGTATCACTATGTGATATTTAATACCCTAACATAGTAACTTCTGTTTTTGCTTTTTCCCAAAAGCAGCACATTTTAATTACACATTTGCTTACAAATGACATGTTCTCCCATATTTTGTAAAACCAATTAAACCTGAAAACCTAGGTACCTTTTTACTTTTACATCTTGTTATCATCTTCTTTCATTGCTCAGTAATTTTGCATATTAAATAAAATTAGTATTGATATTTTTCTGAGCAAAATATTCCATTGCACTCATATGATCATAATTTATTAAAGACCTGTGAACAGGGTTAGATAAAATAATGAAAACTTAGAAAATTAAGAGCAGGAAAATATATCTGCAGCAGCATTCCCAATGCCAAAACAGAGATGCCATTCAAATAACTCCATCTCTAGTGAGGGTTTAATGGCTTTTTCTAGTCTACGTAATTTCTCAGCTACTCTAACTTTTCCACAAGCGAAGTCAAGAACTCCAGCCATATTGGACCAGTATTTCATTTTAGATTTTATCTCAGAAAAACCTTCCTGATGAATGAAACCATGCTTCCATACATAACCCATTAGATCATTCCCAATTAGATCTGGCACAAGATCAAGCAAATGTGTGAACTGCAGCATATGAAATGGGTTCCCGACCAGCACCTGTGTTGTGGGGCTGGGTGCTAGTTCCAGAGATCTGGTGTAGCACTCGCTTTCATACAGCCTGGCCCGTCTCTGAGATGGGTGCCTTCCATACCCTGCCAAATGGTACAAGATCACTCCATGAATACAAGCCACCACAAATCCATCCTGGAGAGGAGGACCCCCCATCTTGGCTACAGCTTTCTCTTTGACCTAAAGGTGTTAGGGATGTTTGAGGAAGACGGTTGCTACGTATCAGTGGGTGGGGGCATAAAGCAAGTGACTCACCATGTTCCCCCTTTTCTTCTTGCAGCCTCGGCCGAGGGTTCTCCATAAACACAGTTAGCCTTCCACGCTGCTGTCCTGCCAGTGGGTATGAACATGGCCTGTTCCCCACGATGAGACGAACTCATCGCACTGCCAGAAGAGATCCTTGGAGCACTGGCAGATTAACTGGATTAACCGAAAAAACATCCATTCAGTCAAGATCATGAGCTTTGGAAAGAAACCTTAGTTTGCTATGGATTTTAAAATGAGGTGCATAACATACAGTGCCAGCTCATTCCAAGTGGTCACTGGCAGACCACTGGCTGGAAGATTGCTTCTGGTCTTCATCACTGTGCATAACTCAAGTTCCTTTGGGGGCGCTACCTGTGCCCTTCACTAGAAGTCCTGTTTTAGCATGGCAACTACTGGATTATTTTATTATATGTGCAGGTGGCATGATGTTCTAGAAAAAAATTCACAGCAGTTCTGCGATCTCAGTGGAAGTGTTCACAATGTTATGCCCTGGTAGGAATGTAAACGTGTCTCAATTATGTTAGTTATGGTGTCCAAAGGTATTCTGTCCGATGCTGAAGCACTTTATAGAGAACACTACACTGACACAAATCAGCACGTTCAGTACATGTAGGAAAACAAGAATTTTCTTTTATAAACTTTGTCTTATTTCTGGCTCAGACTGTCCAAGACAAGCTCCACTACTAGCATATCCCCACTCATGTGTGGTAGATTGGTGTAAATATGGCCATAATACTGTTAGACTTCACTTCTCGACACTTTACTGATAACTGCATAATTTGCAGCACCAAAGGCAAGAAGAAGCAGGCCTGGCAATTGGATATTTGAGCTCTTGGGTCTTTATACCAAGGCACAACTCAACATGCACAAATACCCAAGTACAAGAGGCTGCTATTTGGCCAACGTACACATTCTCTCAGTCTGTAAAGAATTCTTCCAAAAGCAAAGGAGGAGAGGCCCCTTCTTATCATTAGCCGTGGTGGGTTGAGGCTAAGGACACAGAATATAATTTTCCTTTGTGGTCTCACTGTAATGCTTTGGGAAATAGCTTAGGTCAGGTTTAAATCACAATTCTCTGATTTAAATTATGGGACTCCACTCTGTGCCTAGAGAAGAAGAAGGGTTCCATCCCATACTAGGTTGATTCCTCAGCACAAAACCTCCTAGTTCTCTTAATCCTTTCTGGAATTGAACCCATGACTAATTTTTTATTTTTTTTTTAACTCTATCTTGCAACAAAGCACAGTCCTGGGAAACTGTCCACTTGGTGACGGCTCGTCCTCAGTGACTGGCCCTGTAACACACCTTAGGGTTTTCCTCCCTGGAGATCTCGAGTAGGCTGAGTCAGAAGCTCAGCACAATATGTTCTGTGCGCCACTGCCCCGTCCCGGGCTGAGGGCATCCGAGGCCCCTCTTTCGAATGACTAGGACGACTTCTGGGACCCTTCCAGAGCCTCTACTGCATGTTCGGGGAGAGAGATCAGGATGTGGCTGTGCAGCCAGGGAAGGGGGCTTCCAAAGGGAACTCACAGAACTTCCAGTTACCTCCCACACCTGGACTTCTGATCCGGCGGCACCCAAACCATCACACCCGCACCAGACCATAATTCTCTACCAGTCCAGAGCCAGCCCTCGCTGCCAGTGACCCTGAATGTTACCTCCCCGTCTCCACCATGAGGCTTAGCGCCCACAGCTGGGCTTCCATCCCTTCCTTAATCCGGCAAGCATTTGCTGACTGTCCGTCATGTGCTAGAACTACAGCATACAGAACAGAGTCCCCTACCCTTACCAAACTGTTTCCTCCCCCAAACCTATCACCTACTGTTCAGCCATGACAACTGAATTCAGACAGTGTTCACCCTCTGCCAGAGAAACCCAGGAAAATGCACACAGCAGCAGGCAGAGAGACCCTTGTGTGAGGGACCAGGCAGCCCCAGAGCATATATTTGTACCCATCCTGTATGGACAACCCCTCCAGATCAAGCTAGTGAGAGCTTCCCAAAGCAGCTTCCAATTGCTTTCCTTGACACTCACCCCAACCACCTATATTCCCATCCTTTACGTGATGCAACCATTTATCACTAAACTGGACTCTCTAAAACTCTTAGTCTAGAACTCGTCCTGAGGGCTCTGGTTTGCATTTGATGAACCCTCAAGAGCTCCCTACTGCCAGGTGCTGAGCAACAGTAGCAGGGAATGAACCGGTCTACCAGAGACATGGAGAGAGTATTGCTAACACCCTTGAAAAACTGGACATGGTCTATGGTGCCGATGTTCTCTCAGTGATGGTGGTGCACTGTTATTTATGCTGGCTCTTGCAAAATATTCTGAACAATTAAATAAGAATAGTTTCCTAGCCGGCTTTTTTTTTAGTTGAAGGAGTACTAGAAAATTGTTAAAGGGTGGTGGGTAAAGACAGAGATGGGGGAAGGCAAAATGAAGACCATTAAAGAGCCCAGTGGATGACAGTGTCTCTAAAATTGCCTTAATGCCCGGCACACACTGCGTACATATTTGCGTATGAACTACTACTGTTTTCCAAACTGCCAACCCCTGTTGGAAGTCTTTTGGCCCCACACAGTTTTGGAAATATGGTGGCATAAAAGTCAGTGATCACAAGCTAAACCAGCAAACTGGAGCAATGACTGCATTGCGTCTTTGGCTTCTTTGTGCAATGGGCTCCTCCGTGACTTCCCATGGTTACTTCTGCCATGCCAGAAGGTACACTTATTCCCAAGATGTGTGAGCATGAGATTTTACTGCCCAGAAATTCAGAAATGGCTATGCTAAGTCTTGTTTGGGCTGGGGAGATAAGGGATAAATATTTTGATGTCTAAAGGCTGTAAACTGTTAATGCTTAACTTTTCCTCTTGCTTCAATCCATGCTACACCCGTATTAAAGACTGACACACTTGTGCAAACACAACACTCTTGGGAATGAACTGAAATGAATAATTATCAGACTGTCCAGGGTGCCAAGAGGATTAGCTTACTCCAGCTCCAGAACTGAATTTAAATATGCAGAGCATTGTCAGTTCTGCTAGGTACAAAGCAAATCGCTGCAGTAGTCTGAGACTTTACTAGGGACACGGAGACCCTACCGACTTTCTTATGGGGAGTGGCACACCTTCCGATCTCTGAGCGGGCTCTGTGTCCCTGCAGATTTGATATCTACCTCCAGAATACGGGTAAACCACACTTAGTTTCTCTCCAGAGTCCGTGTACAGGTGGCCCGCAGAAGCTCACAGGCCTACTTCTAAGGGCAATGTGCCATCTTTAACATTCCAGGGGAAAAGGAAGCTCAGCCTTCCCTGAGAATATAAATCGAGGATGGGCCTCCCTCCCCTTGTGACTTGCAAATGCTCTGTCTGCAAACTTCACGGCATTGATTTTGGATGATAACAGTAAAAGTCTCAAGGAGGGAAGTTTCCGAGATCCCCCTCAAGCACTTTTCTTCTACCAAACCTCCTCTTCCCTGTGCATCAGCAGCTTCATTCTGATGCTTGCCTCAGATTTTTCAGAGTAATTTTGTTACTTGACAACTAGACTTACAGCTGCCATTGACTAAATCTAATCTCTGACAGTGACATAAACTCCTTTATCCCTTCCAGGATGTTTTGTTAACCCCTCCCACGGCCCCTCCACCCCCCTTTCTGCTTTTGTTTTGTGTGTGTGTGTGTGTGTGTGTGTGTGTGTGTGTTTAATTTTTTTTCTTTTCATGTCTTTCTTTTAAGATAGCACCACGGGTAGATTTCAAATACTCAAGAAGTAGCTCAAATTAGATCAGCACAGTGCTCACAACTTTTCCCCAGTCCTGACTAATAATTCCTCCATAAGACTGATCTTGGAGACACTTGCTGCCCAGCAGTAGTGGGGCTTAGTTTTCCTTCTCCAGGGGGCAACTGGTCGCTGCTGATCCTCACAGCAAAGCCCGGCAAAGCCACTGGAGTCAGCAGGCAGGAAGCCTGGGAGATGTTTCTATGGGCACAGCTAGGGACTCCAAGTCCAATTCAGGCAGGGCTCGCCCCTGAGTCTCCCCACATCTGTAGCTAATCCTGGAGCCAGAACTGTCTGTGAATTCTGGTTTACAAATGCACATGATTCCTAGCAGCTCAAAGCAAAAGAGAGCTTTGTTTCTGTCATTTTGCTCTGGCGACCTTCCATATCTGGAAGACAGGGAACATTTTGGGGGGAAGCTTTGGAAAATGTGGGGGAAGCTGGCCAAGCACACGGGAAAGTTCTACCACACCTTAAGAATAAGAGCAAAATGGATGCTGTCGTTTGGGAAGGCAGCTGGAGGGACCCTGTCAGTACTACCACCTTGTGACCACCTGGGCTGCTCAAGGAACATTCTGGGCAGAAGAGTGGGAAGAAACAAGCACTATCTAAAATCTAAACGGCTTTCTGGTGAAATTTACCGGGACAAAGATAAGAGGGAAGAGCTAACAGGTGTAGGACTGATTCTAGACCTCCTGCCCAAAGGCAGAAGGACTGAGAAATATCTGGAACAGAACAACAGACCTGGGTGCAAAAGGTTTTAGGAGACTGAAGCTTCATTTGCCTTATAAGGTTCTTCATCGACCCCACAGTCTTACATCAGGGCCTCTCTCTCCTACATATAGTTACATCAAGCACTAAAAGGCACGAATAGGGGCCGGGGATACAGCTCAGTGGAATAAGTACCTGTCTGGCAAGCACAAGGTCCTGAGTTTGATTCCCTGTACAAAAAAAAAGATACAAATGGCATACACTTTGTAAAGGTCATTATAGAACAAATGTGGAATTGCATTTGGCTACTTTTTGGACATTAATTCTGATCACAAATTTTCTTAGTTGGGAGCCAGTTGTTTGGGAGTTTTGACTTGGTTTGTCATTTGTTTTGTTCTTCTCCAAAACTCAGACATATCTAGGATCCTTCGAATGACTCTTCAACACAGGCCGTTCTGCCTAATTGTACTATTGGAAGCAGCCCTACTGATGTAAACTACAAGAAGACTGTTAATTTAATCTGACTTTGGAGAAACTTATACCTAAAATGATTACAACACTGAGGACTCTGCAGGTTGCCTGCCATGTGGTTCACAGCCTTTTAAAACTTCATCATTTGGAGCAAAGGAACTAAATGTTTGCTCTCACCTGGTCTCACCACATCGGCACACACATAGCTGCCAGCTGTGGAATTCCAGGCTGGGTGGGTGTGTGAGAACGCACAGATCTATTTTGTGGGCTTGCATTTAATCACCACCAACTCCCTTGGATTCTATAGTGAAACACTTTGTGATGCTTTTTTAAAAAAATCCAAAATAGAAGCCTCTTATTATATCATGATTTGGTATGGAAACTGATTTTGAAGATAACCTTGAAGAAAAATGTGCTCATCATTAAAGCCTCAAACACCTAGAGGTTGTTCCTGCTGTTCCTCCAACTGAGGATCTCTTCCTTCAAGTCCCAAGGGGTGAGACTGGCCTCTGATACAGCCAAAATGCTGTGAAAACACCTTTTAAGCTCTAGAGAGAGTCCCCATTCAAACATAATTGCAAAAATAGGATTTGGAATTGGAGCACTTGGTCCTCGATCCTAAGGTCCCCGAATCAATTCTAATTCTTTATATATGTTGACTGTGTTTTTTGAAACCACAGTTCACTGCATTTAGTCTGTTTGCACTGGGAGCTGCCTCTGACTGGCAGCTTCCTGGATCCTGATCCCGAGGAGCACATTGGAGAGGACTGTGTGTCTCCCCTACTCCAGTTGCCGAGGTTTCCAACAGTGCCCCCAGCTCTTCTGCACAGCAAAAAGGCTACTGGTGATAGGCGGTGCCTTAAACAGAAAGTGGAGTGGGGAGGCTATTCATGACTGAATGCTAGAAACTTTGTCCTTTGTGTTTAATTTTATTTTTATCTGCAGGGCTGTGTGTGTGTGTGTGTGTGTGTGTGTGTGTGTGTGTGTGTGTAGTCCTAGCAATGGAACACAGCTTCTCGCCACATACTAGACAAGAACTCTACCACTGAGCTACACCCCAGCCCATTTCTTTCACTCTTATCCCAGTCTCAGCTCAGATCCCCAGAAAACTGGCCTTAGCCTTTGCCGTGGGTTCCAGTCACCATGGAGAGAGCTACCATTGGCCTCAGCTCACCCCAGGCAATGGGCAGCTTTCTGGGGTGCCCCAAAGTTTTTCCACCGGTAGAAACATGATGTCCTTACAAGGCCACAGTGAGGGGACTGGGTCTGGCTAATTACAGAAGCTTGCATTGCAGAGCGCTGAATAATAGCAGGCTCTTGACTTTGTACTGTGTCTCAGTCATGACCAGGGTAGAAGTCACTGGTCTCCCGAAAAGCCAAGCCAGCACAAATGTTTTGAAACTAATTCCACTGAAACTCTTATGTCACTAAAGCATACTACTGTAGTTCCAGTTAATCCAACTATTTAATATCATTAGGCACTAAATTAAATAGCTTTACACAAAATTTTAGAAAAGATCAATATTGCAACAAAATTACATATTAGCAGTAAAAAGCACCTGAGAAAAGAAAATATTGATCTGTTGTGGTTTCTATACTAGAGTTATTCTTAGGGCTTATTCTTAGGAGTTATTCTTAGAACATTGGCACTGTTCTGATAAACAGGAAGAAAATGTTCTGAATTCGAGAATGCAAGACTAATAGAAATCACCCTGTCTCTGGGCCTCTGCCTGCCTATCTGGGACACTCTCAGTCCCTCCTCAACAGAGTTGTTTGGAAACAGAAAAGAGCTACAGGGAGAAGCTGTCCCACGCCACCAGTACAGGCATAATTATCATGGCATCCTGGGTTATGGCTTTTATTTAATGATACCTTTCCTCACTGGAGACTTTCTCCTAAAAGCTGTTATTACCGAGCCTCCTCTCTGGGATTTAGAAAGGAAAAAGAATGATGAGAAAGTAGCAGTGAGTGTCTAACATCCCCGTTGCATGCTTTTTCCGATGTGTGGGTGCTGGTCTGCAGAGTCCAGAGCCAAGGTGTCCATTCATCTCCACTTCTCCACTGCCCCTTGATCTCCACTTCTCCACTGCCCCAAGGGTCAGAGCACTGTGACCTACCACGGGGAGACCCTGGCTTGGATTAGGGCCTGCGAAGACTGCCAGTCCTCAGGTCAGAGAAGATCAAGGGAAGTGCGAAGTTGACAAGCCAGGGGCCACAGGAAGCAGAAAGCCAGACCAAGTTGCATGTTAGTTATTTGTTCTAGGGAGGAGCAAGAAAGAGAAATCACGCAAGGTGGATTAAATATAACTCAGGTTTGAGTGGGGAAAAAAGAAAACCGGCTAATTCTTTTACAGACACCAACAAACATGGCTAAAAAGCACATTTCTTAACACAGAAGCCTATGTAGATAGTAGACATTTTATAGCTTCCTTAAGTGAGCAATAGTCTGAACTCTCTTGGTCTCTTAAGAATGATTGATTGATTGATTAAATACGTATTTCCCTCGTTCATTGCCCACACTGTAGTGCAATTCTCTCTATGCACCCTACGAAGACTCGCAGGCCCAGATTTAGGTGGACACAACCAAGTCACATGGAGAAACAAGAGTGCCTTTTCTGTTAGATACTCACTTTCATTCTCTGGGTTCCCAGGGCATAAGATGTTTAGAAACTTTTTCCTCTAAACATAAGAGTTACTGTGCACCACGATTTTGAACCACTGATCTCCATACCTTAAGCAGCTACCAACTTGGGTCTCCTTTCTATTTTCTTATAATACTTCCTTCTGTTTGAGGTTTTCCTCAAGAAAAACTAGGGAGCACGATTCTTTTTAAATTGATAAAAAATGAGACTGTATAGATTTTTGCTCCCTTCGTGTCCAAAAGCATGATCTCTGTCAGGCCTGAAAATCTGCTTTATCATTTTGTATATTTGACTATTTTGTATTCAGCATTACTTGACTCTTTATGTGCATGGCAATATATTAAAACGTGCGATTTCTATTAGTGCGTAAAAGTGTTTTGATTCTGATTTTCAGCATATATCCTTGACCAAAAAAAAAAAAAAAATACATTCAACTTTTCATTTCTATTTTCTTCAACTCATCAGCTTTGCAGAAGAAAAAGAAAAGTTAACAGCATTTCACTTTCCCCTTCTTAGCTAAGGATGCAACCCATGGTGGAAAATTGTCCTCGATTATGCTGTGTTTCCTGGAGAAATAATATATGGGAAAGGAACTGGTGGCCTCCCTCCAACTCCCAGCACACAAAATTCCTCCCGCGCCAAATCCCACCAGTTTGATTGTTCCTACTACTGAACACGTTAGCACTGAGCACATTTGGAGAAAAGTCACAATTCTCTTCTTCACAGACGTGATACCGCACCAGAGAGAGGTGGGAAGAAAGATTTTCTCCCACCAATTCGTTTCACTCCCAAGAGTCTTAAATACTCACAACAGTTCGATCCTTGGCGTTTCCCAGCACCTCGTGACCGTGTGCCTCCCAGGACTGGAGACCTAGGAGTGTGAGCTACCTGTCTTTACGTGTAAAGACACTGACCTTCAAGTAGCACTTGCTAGAGAGCACGGTGGTGAGAAACCAGTGCTCCCAGACAGATTGGCTCAGCAGATACCTGGATACCCTCCACCCTCATCCATACATTTTTAATACTTTAAAAAAGTTTTGCAGTACACAGAGTGGCAGTACATAATGAGTACACTCCTCTTAGGGAGCTGGTTCCTGCATATAGCGCATCTTCATTCGTTTCCACACCTTTCCTCTCCCCTTGTGCCACATTCTGAGACTTAAGAAAGGAAACCGCTAAACAAGCTGCACCAACGTGAACCGCAGGCCTTTTCCCTGCTCTAACCTGCGCTCACCTCTCTCCTCCAGGAGACGTGGTAATGAGCACTGCTGCACCCCAGGACTTTCCTGAGTCTGAGGGCTTGCCTCGCAGGAAAGGCAGGTAAACATTTGGTGGAAAATGAAAGGAGACATCACTGTGTTGTTTGGTACACGCTGACTGTCTGTCCAATGTCTCTGTTTGCCAAATTTAAAAAAAAAAAAAAGGGTTTCCTGAAGCAAAACCTGAAGTTATCTTTTAGGTTACCTCAGTGAGTCCACACACAAACACTCTAAACTCTCCACGTACCTTAGAACTCTAAAAACGCGTGTGCCTCCCAATTTCCCTCTGTGCAGATCCAGGACATGAAAACCCCACTGTTACACAGCCTCCTAGGAGATGTGAAACCCTGGCCCCCAAACCCATCTTTACCTTGCTGGGATAGTTTCTCATCATTTCTTCTCTTCTTGCCACTTTCTCTCATCGAGTTCTTCCTTGTCTTTGTTTCCTCTCTCGGCTACCTTGAACTAATTTATCTCTTTTTATTCTTAATACTTTCTAGATGGTAACGTCCTCTTCCCCTACCTTCTGAATGCTTTAGTGTTGAGCATATTTGGAGAAAAGTCACAATTCTCTTTCCCGCAAAACATGGTAACACACCAGAGAGAGATGGGAAGGAAGATCTTCGCCCACCAATTCGCCCTCACGGAGTCTTAAGCGCTGGATCCATGGCGTTTCCCAGAACCTCAAATCTGTGTGCTTCCTCCTTTCCTTTGATTCTTCCGTACCTATCTCTTCTTTTGCTCCATAAATGTTAGGTAAGCTGAATTAAACCTGGTGTTATGTTCTCCTCAGTTCACTTCCATTCTGCCCACTGAGCCTTGAAACCCTTTTAATGCTGCATTAAGCAGATTCACTCAATAATAAAGACTAAAGTCAGGTGTGTTCTGAGAGGTAGGCAAAAGCTTTGGTTTCCTCCAAACCTGCTGCAGTCAGATTCTCCTAAATACCACGTTACCCATATTAAAAGAAAAGGCCTATGGATGCTGGGGGCCTTGTGCTTTTCTGTGTACAGTGGCAGCTATATTTGGATCAAGGACAGTGTTGACTCTGAGAAGCCGAGGCCACCCAAATAATTTATTGACCTAAGATTATTCAGAATCTTATAAAATCCTTTTGTGAGCCCTAGGAAATGTGCATAGCAGAACTAGCTATCTTATGCTAGAGAAATCTGAAAATGCTTTTTGGTTTCTGGTTGGTTCATTTGGCTGGGAGCTGGTGGAGGTTTCTCACAGTGACTATGAAATTGTTAGGATTTTTGACATTTTATCCTGCATGTCTATTTTTAAGGTGGATAGGTACATTATAAAATAGCTTCCTGTGGCCTTTCATGAATGATGTATAAATGTTGAAAACTTAACTTAAAAAAAACTTTAAGAATGGCAGCCACATTGTTCTGTTCTTGTATAGTCGGGGCTGACCTGGGATTGTAAACAACTGCTTCACAAGCGCAGTTGCCTCCTGCCTCGTGAGAAGTAGGAGGTTGCTCTAGTTCTACCTTCCTCTCGTTTCTCTCCTTTTGGTGATATGACCCAAATACTCCTGGGTCCCCACGGCCCAGTTTGCACAGAACACCAAGAGGCAGAGAAAACGCATATAAGCACATTACCAGATTTTACTTTGTCCTTCAGGAAACTGTCAAAGCCAGAGCAGGGGTAGAGGTTGTGGGTGTGTGTTACACAGAAGGATCTTACAAATCCTCCCCATCCCATCACCCTCAGTGTCTTCCATCCTAAAGCAGCTGCTTCCCTCATTTCCAGCTCTGTGTGTGTGTGTGTGTGTGTGTGTGTGTGTGTGTGTGTGTGTGTTTACATGCATGGGTGTGTGTGGTGCTGGATATTGAACATATTGAACCCAAGACCTTCACACGGAACTCTTCCCCATCCTATTATTTTATTTCTAATTTTGAAACAAGTTCTCCCTAAACTGCCCAAGAGGATCTTGAACTTGCCATCCTCCTGCCTCACTTCCCAAAGTGCTGGGATTATACGTGTGGGCTGCTGTGCCTGGTTTAGTCCAGGCTTCTTTATAAAGAACCTTTCTAACTCTCACCTCTTATCTATGTAATTTTCCTACTTTTGCTTCTCCAGTTCTGTTTTTCTCTACCTCTTGCCCTGATTCTGCCTTCCCAAAGCATCCCGACCAAACCAGGAAACACTGAATGTTCTTTAGCAAGCAAAGGAGTATAGCAAGCAAACAGACTATAATTGTTCAGTATTATTCTTAATAATTTCCTTCATCAAATTTTCTTGACTTTTCCTAAGAATTCTAGCCCTGAGACTATGGAATCAATGATCATGAAATAGAGGGTAATAGAGAAAGTAAGACCTATGGGGCTTGCACGTTTTTGTTTATTCATTTAACAAACATAGATGGAGTCTGGGCTCCTTGTCCTGTGTGCCAGGAACTAGGCCTGACACTGGGCTGAATGATGCTGATTTAGAGATGAAGGACATTTTTCCTGACCTTAAAGATCTTACGTCCTAAATTATAGAAATGAGTAACTCAGCAAATCACATATTTTTTTAAAGTATCTCCTATTAAAATGCAAATAGGATAATAATTCAAGCACCATTCATTCTCAAGTGCTAGAATTGAGGAGAGGCGCAAGAATGACTATAGTCCAATAAGTTCTGGCAATATGACACATGTATTCTATGCCTCTCCCCAAGAATCAGGACACCCATTAACGTATTAAAGGCTCTGAGAAGTCTTGCAGGAAATAATCCTATACGTGTGTTCAGTGCAGCACTTTCAAAATTCACTCAAGCATCAACCACAAACAGAGAATATCAATTAACTGCCCACAGAGCAGACATTTTTGGAAATGCTGCTGTATGCCATTCTTTAGCTTGATCAACGTTATCTTGATGGGATGAGTATGAAGCCCCTCAAGAAAAAAGTGGGCAAAAGATAGACTTCCGAGTGGGAGATGGAGACCTGGGGGCCAGAAACCAACCTCCCGATTCCTATTAATAAAAACAATAACAGAGCAGCTACTTCATGTTCCACCTGAGAGCGTATCGCATCCTAGCCCGGTCGCCAGCCAAGCTCAGGAGAGGAGGAACAGTTGCACAACCCTGGCTGAGGCTCATATCCCTCTAGATTTTAATTGTCTCTCCTGAAATACCAGGCATCTGGAAGAGATGAATCCAATATCCCTCCAGAGCGCACACCTCTCGGTGCCTTTCGGCTCTGTGCTTTTTTATCTCCAGCTTTGCTTTTAAAGATATGCAAGCACACACTTGGAAAATTTAGAAGAATATCTAGAAGCTTCTAGATATTCTAGAATATCTAGAAGCTTCTAGTGCATTAGAGTTTACGCTCCTTCTTAAGACTGAGGGAGGTTTACTACATATTTTTGTCTCACAAAAGTTATGAAAGCCATTTTTCCAAGGAAAACAAGAACTTGGATCACAGTTTGAGCAATCACACAGGAGCCCAGGGCTGCCATGGGTAAGTCCACGGACATGAACAGGTGGTGATTTATATTGGGTAAGCCAGACATTCTTACAGTTCATGCTTGCGTGCAGTGGAGTCAGGAGTAAGGAAATCTTCAAGGAGTTTTAAAGAAAGCAAGTGTCATCAACTTGAAGGTTTGTGTATTCTTCTTTCAATGACACCTGATTCGACACTTGTATTAGCAGAGTTAAAGAGAAGGTGAACTCAGACCTATAAAGAAGCATTCACAAAGATTCCCGGCTGAACTCCTGGAGATGGTATTCCCAAAGTGAGAACACATTCCCGTCACACGGCGATGGAGGTGGACATGGAAAGGCGAGGGGAAGAGGCAGAGAGAATTTCAAATAAAGACCTAACTCCCCCTCAGAAGGGTCAACCTCGTTCTGACCCTGGATAAGAAAGACAAGCCCATTCCTTCGTTTGCCCCTTGTAGTTTCTATTTTTTGATTATATTTCCAAGTCTTTGTATGATGTTGCTACGTAAAAACAGAATAAAGTTTAAAATTTTAAATACAGTTTATTTTGAAGAACATAAAATATTAAAATGAGAATCAGTCCCAGTGAGCATATAATAGTGTCTGAATTATGATTTGATTTACTCAAGTTAAATACCTTAACTGAGTGTTTACTATGAGTCTACTCATTTAATGCCAACAAAATTCTCTTTATATTATTACTCTCATCACAAGGAAAGAGATTAAGGTTTAAAGAGATTAAATTCTTAGGCCAGATCATGCATCTAACCCAATCAAGCTCAAGAACTATTTTTGTTTTCTCTCCTTTTTTGTTTTTATTTGACACTTAAAAACTATGCATATTCACAGAGTATGGTGCGATATTTCAGTACATGTATACAATGTGTAAAAATCAAATCAGCATAACTTGTACATACAGTACCTCAAACACTGATCATTTCTTTCAGTTGAACAAATTCTCTCTACCTACAACTTTGCATTTTTGTTATTTTAAAGAGAATAAAATATTTAAAAACCAACAAACAAAACAAGAAAAATTATACAGAATTTCAAAACAAAATGATAGGAAATTAACAATGGTTGTTATATTGCATACTGTTATCTTCAAAGTAGTTGTTCAGATTATAGGCGTGCAAAACTGATCAAATAACTAAGCATTAATTGTTGCTTTCAATGAACCAATAGAAACCAGTAGTACGGCTATCTTAGCTAACTTGTGTATATATATTTTTTCTTTCTTTTTCCTGTCCCCCATCCCAGCTGTTCTTTCCTTTTGAGCAGTTTCTTTCCCTTTCACAATATCTATTGTATCTTTAGGATTTTATTTAGTCTTTCAGTTTCTTGCACAAGGGAGACAAATATACAATTTAATTGTTTTTAACTATGGTTACCCTACTATTCAGCAGTGTTAATTTTTCCTTCTACCCAAATGCACTACTATATCGAGTACTTTTGAAACATTGTTGACAGAAAGTTATGCTATCCTTGAAAAATGCACCCAACACACAAAGCTTAACGTGTTTTCAATTGTCTCAAGAACCTCCCAATCCATTTCATTTTAAGGATTCTCACCTTAAATAATGTCAACCAATTTTATTGGTGAACAAGAGATGCTAGAAGAAGAAAGGCAGCCGACAATGACTTTGCCTCCAACACGCCGGAAATCTCCTGTCTCAGGAAGGGAGGAGATCAGCACGGTGCATCCCAGAGGCTGCTACCAAGGGATCCTATGCAGGAGCCCTGCGGATAGAACAGGAAATCGTTCCGAGTCCCAGCCTCACGGAAACTGTTGTCCAGACAAGGAGCCAGGTAAGTGAATGGGCATTAGATCTGTGGCTCTCATTCTGCATTTTCCAGCTGGTCAACCTCTGTGAGGGTGTCCAGAAGAGCTGCTATTTCAGCCAGCCACTGGGCTTTCACTGTAAGTATATTACTATTGCATAATTTTTGTTCTGTTGCATTAAGTTGAATATGTAATCAACTTTCCTGATAACAAAAATATTTTTCCTATTATCTTTGGTCAAGAGGAAAAAAATCAGACACGTTCTTTAAATGCCTCCAAAATTGGTATGAATGTATTCTCTTCAAATTAGGGCTTTTGATTTTCCATGCATAAGGGAACTATAGTCCGTGCTTTTTGTACTGTTTCTGCTAAGATTTTAAACACCTTTTTTGTTCAATGTGTTCTTCAACTCAGCTAACATAGGGTGTAAGAGAGCTATTAGTGGGAAACCAAGCACATATCCTGTACCCTCATATCACACAATTTCAAGCTTGTCAATTCTTTCTTTATGTAATAGGCGTGCTTTTACTTATTCATAACCCATTTATTTCCACAAAGTCATTGAGACAATTCATAAGAAAATATACCATAAAATAGAAAGCTAAAAATACACTAAAATCAAATCAGAGAAAACAGAGAGCAATTAGAAGATCAAGATAAGGATGTAGGTTGTTACCTTCACACTCTGACCATCATTATTAAAGAGGAGCCGTAAATTTCACGTCGGCCTTGGAGGCAATCAAAGTGACTTGGATCAGAATTTACAGCATCCATAAAAATAAGCATAGATGGATAGTGGAGAAGAATACAAAAGTCACACGAATGTGTAACAAAAAACAGTGGCAGTTGTGGTTTACTGTCCTGAGAGGTGTGCCTCCCACCCTCGACCAGAGGAGTTCAGTCTGCTCTAAACACAGGCCGAAAATGTTAGTATTGCTTTGGGGAACCAAGTTTTCCCTTCCCATGCAAGTCTGAGAAACCTTTCTTATGAGTCTTTCTAGGCAGATCCTGAGCGAGGCAGTGGCCAATGTCCCTGTAACGTATACAATAAAGGCTTTCAAAGACCCGTTCTCATGATGACCCTGAAAGGCAGCAAAAGGCAAAGCAACCATGGGCAACTAGAGGGAAAAATTCTGTAGGGTCAAAATACCTGCAATGTGGTCTCAGCTTATAATCTCTCCAAAACGTAAGGTTACCTAAAGGATTGAGATGGAAGGACAAGCAAGATACTGTGCTCATGACGACAGCCGCTTCCACCAAACTCAGTCACGGTACCAAACACGGTTGGCTTTGTGCAAGGCACTTCAGTGCATCGTTTTACTTAATCCTCATAATAACTCAGCAAGGTAGCTGCACTGGTCAAGTCTTGTTCATTTGCGAGTGAAGCCCAAGTCAAAACTACCTTAGGCAGAAACAGAAAGAGAGAGGGTTACTGGATGATGTCATAGTAAAAGTCCAGGGCTAGCTAGGCAGGCCTCTCTGCCTCTCTGCCTCTCTGTCTCCCTGTCTTTGTCTCTGTCTCTGTCTCTGTCTCTGTCTCTCTCTCTCTCTCTCTGCCTCTCTGTCTTTCTCTGTCTCTGTCTCCCTCTGTCTCTGTCTCTGTCTCTCTCTGTCTCTCCGTCTCTCTCTCCATTGCTGGTGTCTTTTTCATGAACTGGAAGGATATTATCTCACAGCCCCAAGTTTACACCAAAAGAGGCCCTGTCTCACAACATCCAAGCCAGTCCTGAGGGTGCCTGCTGATTGATTGGCTGGGGGATGAGGACAGCCACAAGCTCATCCCTTGCCGCAGCCGGGACCTCCATGAGGACGTGACCCTACGGAGCTGGCCCCGCTGGGAAAGACGGTCCCTAGACTGACAGCACAACAACCTCACGGAACTGGGATGTGAGAGCAAGCAAGGCAGACGGAACTCTCCGATGGTGCTCACAATTGATACTATTGTCTGCACGTTATACATGAAAAATGGAGGACACTGCCCGCTTCAGTACCAGGTACCTAGGCTGATGGAGGAGGTTCTGGGATCTGGATAGCTTGGACTCCAGGCGCATAGAGAAGAGAAAGGCCTGAAACACAGCCTGGCTCACCGGACAGAAGGAGTGCCCCATCTGTCGAGCTGCACAGGGTTAGCAAATGGCTGGGAAGAGCGGGGAGGGAAGGGGTGCAGCCTGCACGTGGCTGTGGATGAGTATGAGCTGTCTCTGGCACGCAGGGCTCTGCAGTCCTGAGGCTTTGGCTCGTAACTGGCGCCCTCAGCTGCGTGCTCCTCCATGACACAGAGCAGCTGTGAGTGGTAAGAGTGCTGGCAACATGAGTGACGGAGATTTTCTAGGCACGCACCTGACCCTAGGAGAAAGGTTCCGAGCACCACCAGCCCATGAAGCTGGCCAGTGTCCTGTGTGAAGGGCCACTTCAGCACCGCCTCATGTCCACTCAGGAGCCGCAGAGAAGGGCGCTGTTCTGGAGACTGTGGTTTCCAGTGCCTGGCTCTGCCCGGAGCTGAGACAGAGCTTCCCCGGCTGCCAGGGCCCGGGCCACACCTCAGCACAGGTGTTCTCTGAAGCTGGGAACTGCTCCCAAATTTAGCTCTTTGCGTGATTTGAATTCTCATCTTCCACAACAGGGACAGCAGTCATGACAGCAGATGCCAGTCTGGACTCTCCGGATGCTGCCCTGTAACCCTTCGCTGCTGCTGCTATTTGCTGGCCTGAGGCGTAACTCAGATAAGCCCATGCTCTATCAACATGCAAATTCGTACGCACTCCTACATCTGTGGGGCATTGAACCATAAACTGACTGAACCCTAAACACCCACCCCGAACTCTGCCTCGTGGTTGGTTGGCCCTAGGCTCCTTTTTCCTGGGACCTACTCTAAGAACAGCTTGGTCTTTCTAAGACAGGCAAAGTTTCCAAGGACATCTGATGTCTTTGGCAATTGGGCTAAAAGGAATGCTTCAGCCAGGCGTGGTGGCAGAAGCCTGTAATCCTAGTGCTTGGGAGGCTGAGGCAGAAGGATCTCTGTGGGTCACAAAGTGAGTTCAAGGCCAGCCTGAACTGCATAGTGAGCCCCTGTCTCAAAAAAAAAAAAAAAAGAAATGCCTGGAGTAGGAAAATCGAAGGTGCCGAAGCTCTAGCTGCTTTCAGAATTCTCTTGACAAGCTTCCTTTCCTTCTTCCTAAAGTTGGCTTCACTGAGTCCTGCGGCCACGTGTCATATCTATGGAGAAACCACTAACCCAGTCAACTTTCCTAAATATTCCCCTGAATGTCCCAGCCTAGGACAGGCAGGAACCTCTGAGGCCCGAGCAGAAGCAGTGCCCGCCACAGCAACTCCTAGCAGCCTTCTCCCCGAGGATCAGAGGCCACCGGGAAGGTGACACATGGCAGATCACAAGGCTGCACAGAGAGGGATGTCTCATCCTTGAACAATGACATGAGCTAGGAATATTTTATTGTGTAAGTCATTGAGATTGCAGGATTTGTCTGCTGTAACAGTTGATACTAATTACCTGACTAATTGAATATGAAAAATGTGCAAAAAAAAAATCAAATGCTTGAAAATTCATACAATAGGCTTTTATGCTTTTTAAGAACATCTCTGCTTCAAAAAAGCTAAAACTCAGTGCATAGCCCCCAGTACTGCAGTTTTTTCAGATGTCTCTTACGACGTATTTCCAGAGCTGTGCATATATTTTTATATTATTCTTTTTTTCTCAACTGAACACAGAATTGCTTGGCTTACAATAAAATGTCCCGCTTTTAACATTATTAATAGCTCCAATATAGGTCTTAATTATATTAACTTAAGGGACTTATCCTTCTTAAGTGTAGTCTCAGAATATTTATTGTTCCATTTCCCATTTATTTTTGTAAAATGATAAAACAAATTTTTTAAACTAGGAGAATATTCGTAAAATTGCCCAAACACACCTACATGGACAAAACAAAACATAACGATCAACAAGTTGGGCCGCATGGTACTAGTTTCCAGCTTCAGATTTATGACCCTTCAGCTCAGTGCAGGAGTGGTGGTTGAGAATTTAGTGGTGACCCCGGGTGGGAGTGGGGGATCCTGCAGGAGCCTCTGCCACCTGGGCTTGCAAAGGATGTTCTGGCTCCCACTTTGTCTGACTCAGTGTGGCCTCCACACAGCAGGGAGAATCATCTTTTGAAAACATGAGACAAATCATATCCCTTCCTAGTCCTTAATCCTCTGGTGGCTTCCTCTTTGGAATCAATGCAGCTCTGAACCCCCTACCCACATCCACAAGCCCCTCCACCACCCGCTTCCCCACACTCTGCCCGAAACTCTCCCTCTTACTCCCAGCCAAGGCGGAGATTTCTCACACACATCCATTCTGTCCTACCTCAGAGCCTGGCTGTTCCGCATGCATCAAAGTCTCAGGAACCAGACCATCCTAACCGTCCAGTCTTTCCTCAAATGCCACACCTGTAAAAACACAGATTTTAAGTCACCCAAACAGTCAAATCAAACTCTGTCTTTTTTATATAATAAGAACAGCTGTGAAAGACATTTCTGGGATAGCTGAAGACAATTTCATTCTGTCACACACTAAATAATGTTGCAGTGTCCTATTAAGCGTCATAATAGCATTGCGGTTACATGAGTGAAGATCTTGCTCGTGGGAAATACTGGCCGTACTACTTAAGGACAAAATGTCATGATGTCTGCAGCTTACTTTAAATGAAAGCCCACATGTGTGTAAATGAGCATGCACAGAGAGACATACATAGAACGGAGAGAGAAAGCAAATATGGCATAATGTTAATAATGGGTGAATTTCGGTGAAAAGAAAATAGTGTTTGTTGTACAGTGTTATTTCAACTTTCTAAAGGTTTGAAGGTGCCCAAAGTAAAAAGAATAAAAAAGTTTAAGAAGTCTCCATCTTCACTCTCTACTCTTTTCTCTTGCTTTACTATCTGCGAAGTACCTAAAATTCTCTGACATTATATTTTTATTTCAATGATTATTGGATCTTCTTCCCCTGGAAGTTCCAGGGAGAGGAAGTTTTTGTCAGTTTACTAATCTCCTTTATGCCAAGCTCCTAGATCCAAGTAGCGCTCATGCATAGTTGTTAAATGAGTGACCGCCCCCGCCCTGCCCAGCACCCTTCAGCTGTGATACGCCCCAGCCTCCTTGGCATGAGTTGGGTAAAGGTGACTTGAACACTCCCAGCTCCCCAACAGCCAATAAATCAGCAAATCGGATCCAACGTTCACACTCAGCCCAGAACCAGCCTTAATCTTACTGGCGACATTAGACAGGCCCATGGGCAATGAAGATGCCAGGGAGAGCTTTTCTCACTTTACAAAAGCCCTTGGGTAAATATTGTCCTGTTGGATCCTCAGGTCACTTCTGCATGAAAGGAGAAGCCATCGGCTTATTAACAGAAGAGAGAACCAATCCTGGGAAGGGCACACGTGGCTTTGTCCAAAGTTTGGTACATTTACCTGAAAGAGTCAAGATTTAAACCCCCTTTTTCTGACTCAGAATAATTATGAGTCACTACATATCAAATCTTTGCTCTCTCTCTCTATATATATATATTTCCAGCCATCTAAAATATTATTTACAATCCATGGACAGAATTTTAATTGCTGGTGTGTGTGTGTGTGTGTGTGTGTGTGTGTATGTGTATGAGAAAAGCACCCAGAACTATCCCATCTAAGAAAAGAAAATGGAGATTGTGTGGTGTATCTAGAAGGTGGAGCTTTACAATGCTCTGTCTGGGTATAGACTGTCAGCAGGTCGGAGGCTCAGGGCACTGGTTTTGAGCTAAGTCTTTGTGTCCTTCAAGGCTTTAGCTCCTTAATCTATATGTTCATCCTTCTGCACGCCCACCTTCATGAGGACAGTCAACCTACTTGTGGGTGGCCCAGGTGACCACACCTACCACTTTTAAGCTATGCAGAGCTAGAACCCCACTTCAAGCAATGTGTGAATGGAAGGCAAAAAGCTGGGAAGAAATTTCAAGCATGTACAAAATCATGTTCACCCCAGAGGCCACCTCAGCTGTGAGTCAGACGGTCCTGCTTGTCTGAGAGCGGGGGAGGGAGGGCCTGATCCAAAGTGCTCTGCCCCTCTTCTACAAGGGACAGGAAGCCAAGTTCCCAAGGACCTGGTGCCTTATGCAGAGTGAAACAAGCTGATCGTAAAAGGATATGGACTGCATGAGGGTTGGTGTTGAATACATCCAACGCAGCGGTCAAATATATCTTTAAAAAATCTATATTTAGGAAACTAACCATAAAGTCACACGCAAGACCCATTTTGCATTTGTTTTCTTTTCTTAAAAAGCAACTTTCTTGAGATATAATAAATATGTTGTAAAAATTATTCACTTTAAATGCACAATTCCATATTTTAAAGTATATTATAGGGTTGCACAACCACCACCAAAATATAATTTCAGAATACTTTCATTAACTGATAAAGAAACCTATCATTATTAGCAGTACTCTTTATTCATGACAATTCTGCTTCCTCTTCATCTCTTGCGAGCTACTGACCTCCTTTCTCCTCCGATCCTGGACATTTCATACGGGTTAAATCATACATTATGTGGTCACTTCTGAATTCTTTCACACGTCATCATGTTTTTAGGGTTCATCCATGTTGTAGAATATAGCAGAACTTCATTCCTTTGCATTGCCAAGTAATATTCCTTTGCATGATTACACCACATGTTGTTTATCCACTCATCGGCTGACAGATATTTGGGATGTTTCCACTTTTGACTATTATGAACCACATTGCTAGTAACAGTCATCTACAACTTTAGTGGAGGCAACTATTCTTTCTTCTTTTAGGTATTTTCTGAGGAGTGGAATGGCTGGTTTGTAGAGTAACTAACTCTGTTTAAGTGGTAAGAGCCCGCCAGACTGTTTTCCAAAGTGGCTGAACTATTTATACTTCCACCAGCAATGTGGCAGTGTTGTAATTTGTCCACATGCTCACAACCACTTGTTACATTTTGCTACAGCCTTCCCAGTGAGTGTCAGATGATACTACATTCTGGTTTTGATTTGCATTTCTAGAATGATTAACAGTGTTGTGTACTTTTCATGTGCTTATTTGTCATTTCTATATCTTCTCTTGGGAAATATCTGCTTATATCCTTTGTCCATCTTAATGTGGTTATTTGTCATTTATTGATTTGTAAATATTCTTTTTATATTGTGGATACAAGTCCCTTATCGGATGTATCATTACCAGCTTTTCTTTCATTCTGTTTTCTTTTTACCTTTTCAATAGTATCATTTGCAAAATGAAAAACAATTCCCAATTTTTTTCTTTTGTCCTTTGTATTTCTTTTGTCCTTTCCAAGAAAGCATTGCCAACTCCAGGCCATAAGGACTTATTCTGATGTTTCAGTCTTCTAAGACTTCTCTAGTTTTAGCTCTTATAGTTAGGTCTGGGACCTGTTTCCATTTTGAGTTCACTTTTGTGTATGGTGTGGAATAGAAGTCCAACTTCATTGTTTTGTTGTTCCGGAACCATTTGTTTGAAATGATTACTTCCCCCTGATAAATTATTGTGGTACCCTTGACAAAATCAGTTAATCAGAAATACAAGAATTATATTATATTTGCATACTTCTCCAAGAATGCAATTAATTAAATTGATCTGTTCATTGTTTGAGAAGCAGGCATTCCTAGAAATCTGCAATGGGCGTGTATTGGTTAGGGTTCTCTGGAGGAACATGATTAATAGAAAATGCATGTGTAAGTATGCAAGGGGGTGCATCACAGGCAGGAAAGGCCATAGTGGCCTCTGCCCACTGGAGAGCTGGAGGACCCAGGAGCTGCTCAGCCTGAGAAGACGCAAAATGCAGAACAAGAGGGACCGAGGACATAGCCCCAGCTCAAGGTCGAAGGCCTGGGAGTGCCCTGGAGAGTCACTAGTTTAAGTCTGCATCAGAGGCTGAAAAAATGGGAGATTGATGTCCAGAGGAGAGAACGGCAAAAGACGCACCTACTGGAGCAGAGGGGAGTTCTTCCAAAGAGACACAACTTCCTTGCCTCCCCTTCTTTCATTCCACCCGTGCTATCCACCTATTGTTCGGTGGCAAGGATTGGGCTTCCTCCTCAGTGTGCGGGCCCACAGGCCCATCCTCTCTGGACACGCTCCACACACAGACCCGGGACTGAGTTTACCAACCTGCCAGACATTTCTTAATCCAGTCAAGCTGACAGATCCCAGTGAAGAGTCACCAGAGAACAGACCACAGAATATGACTTCTTAAACATGGCTTCAAGCCCCTCCACACTTTATAAAGGATATTAGTTTTCAAATAAAACATTGGACTAATATAACTGCAATAAGCACAAGAAAAATACTAATAAACATGGATGGGGTCTAGTAGACCTGTGCTGAGGTCCGGAAGTATGGATGACTTTAATCTCCACAGGAACAAACGCGTCAGGGCACAGTCCTTTGCCTGGGTGAGGGAACTGAAGGTTAGAAGGTTGAGTAACTTCCTCCCCCAGCGAGTAAGTCACTGTGCATTTCCAAGCCAAAAATGAAAATCTCATCTTCCGCATGATCAGCATAACGTGTAGTTATTGCCTAACTGCAAAGCCCAGATACTGTATTCCCTTAGATTCTGAGGTCATATTCCAACCTGCAGTCCACAGCAATCCTGCAACTTCTTTGAAGGCTCTCTTCTAACTTTAAATTCATGAAAAATTTTCCATCTCTGTGTGTTTACTTAAAATAATTATCTGTTATGAAAACACTTCACCAGGAGCAAGAAAAGGAAGCTTTCTTCAGTCATTGAAGATAATTACCCCTAAGGAAGAGTTCCCAGGTGGCTTTGCGGTTCCCTGGAGGTCGCACATTGGAAGCTGGGTGTTCTGGGCTGGGAGTGCCGCTCAGGGGCATTGTGCCTGCTAGCAGGCTGGTGACCCCAGGTTCAATTCCCAGCTCCACAGAGAAGATGTAGGGCATTCCTTTGTGCTCCCTTACAATTCAAACGTCTCTAGGACTATTCTTAGATCTCCTTTGAAGGACCCTGGGGTGCTGAAATATCCGCAGACAGCCTGGAAGTAGCCCACTATCGGACTACAAGGAGTCCTGAAGACTGGCCACAAAAATTTCCCTAGGCAGCTCTTATTTTCATACTAACTTCCACTATAAAAGCAAAAATGTATTCCAACAGGAACAAAAAATGTAGCCCCAACATGTAATTTTGAAACAACTTTATCTGCATGAAACTTTTTTTAAAAAAATCACATATTTAAAAAGAAAATGTTATCATTTTTGAAAAGCAATGCAAACTAAGTCACCAGGAGAACAAATAGTGTGCCAACCCTTAAAACACCACGCGTAGACCTGCACTTCCTTACATTACAGCTTCCATGAAAGGAAATTTGCTACCACATCCTCTGAACTTTATAATCAGTCTGTGGTTGGTTTTAAAAGGATAAAAAATGTGGTGCGATGCTAAACATCTTTAAATGTGCTAATTAAGGGTGATCTTTTGGAGGATCCATGGTTAGGGCCACTGATGTCTTTGATTTATATTCTCTTTACTTTCTTTAGAGTGAAAATGGGTTTCCTTGCATAATGTACATCCCTGTAACTCTAATATTTTTTCCTCAGGGACTTGATTTCCACAGCCATTGTGCAATTTCAGTTTTCTGATCTCAAGGTCCAAAAGCTAGTAGTCAAGGGATCATGAAATTTAATAATTTCTGAAGCTCTTTCTAAACTATTAAATTAGGTAGGACAGCCACAAAGGATAACTTGTCAAAGCATGGCTCTGTCCCTTCAGGGATGTGCCTGGCAATACCTTTTGAAGAACACAACCTAAGCGAACGGGCCAGTGTGTAATGAAGAGAATCTATTAAAAAGCTTTGGTCACTGCTGGTCCCAGTTACAGGTCAACGGCACTCCTACACTGGGTAAGTTGAGCTCTGCCAAAGAAATGCCATGCAAAGAAGTGGCCAGAATTTAGGGAAATCGAGAAGTGTTGCTGCCTATTTCCACATTACTTACACAGGTGAGCTTGTGTGGTCCCTGGAATGTGGAAGGAGGGGCCACAGGTCACCTGAGAGAAGACGCTGGGCAAGTAGGAACCCTGACCCCATCCTCCTTCATGGTCTGTTGGTTTCTCCACTGGTCAAAGGCAACAAAAAGTCAGAGGCCCAGGGAGCCACTGTTGTGTCCACCTGGGTACCAGCGTCCTCCAGCCAAAGTCCGCTAAGGACACATCTATAGTTGCACAATGCAGTGTGGTTGCTCCGTATAGTAAGAACATCACAGTGAACTTTGAGAAGTGTCAGGAGGTGATATTCTAGGACTTATTTCTAGGACTTGGCTTCATGGTGAGGAGTGTAGGGAAGGAAGGATGAAAGGAAAGGCTTTGCCTTAGACGGAGCGCCATCAGGAAGGGGGCAAAAGCAACTTCTTTATAGCATCAGCCTCACTTCATTGCTCCCTCATCCTAGCGAAGGTATATTAGGTGGCCTAATCCTAGAATACCCCCACTCCTTGCCAGCGTTCCCCACTTTGAGTTAAAATGGTTGGCTGTATCTTCTGCCTGGACAATACTCACATTTCTGGGTGTGTTCCACCGAGGCCACAGAAGGGTCTGGTTGTTGTCTTGATCCACCCTCATCAAAGTGGTCCTGCCCAATGTGGAGGTTCTGTGAGAGCTTATGTTATGCCAGCAGAATTTCAAGGCTTAGTTGATGGTGTCAGGCTAGGTCTTGGACAGCAGGAGCTGCTCTGCTCTTGCTCATAGGTCAGGTTGTGTGTGAATGAGCAAGCATGGTCTCCAGCACATAGAAGTCACCGCGTTCTGATTTCAACAGGATGTGCATCACTGGGTCGCCTCTCTGAGGCCAGCTCTTGCAAAGTTGCCCTTGAAAAGAAAAGCCACTTGTGAAACACTGGAGTTCAAAATGCATTGCCTCACTCTGCCTCGTCATAGCAGATGACACACATAGAACAGTACATGCTCTCCTGAGTCACCACGGGCCACCAGCACTGCGCAACTTGGGCACCGGAGGGGCATGACTGGCCCTGCGAGAGTCTGGCAGGGCCAGGCAAGAACTGAGTCTCAGCACTGACTGGACATTCCATGCCCCACAGGGTGGACAGCTCTTGAGCTGAGGGGAAATGCCACCTGGAGACACATAGATACCCACAGGAGCCTTTGCAGAGAGCTGGGGTCTTGAATTATGCAGGAGAGGAAAGCCAGCAACACCTCAGTTTACTATTAGTGCACCTTTGTTAATATCTATGCTCTGCTGAGGCCTGGCAAGCCTTGTTTCCATGTGCAAACCTCTTACGCATAAATCAGCTGATTTTATATGCACTTAATTAAAATGAACTTCTTCTGGAGTTTGGCAATAATGCACCATACACTTTTAACAGCTTTGTGCATCATTCCCAACCTGTAAGTGTGGATAATCATACTTACTTATTTATAAAGTTCTTTGAGGTTTTTGGATGAAAGGCTCTTTTAAAGTACAAAGCATTAATTTTTTGTGACAGAGCAATATATGAGAAATGAACATGAAGCGATATAAAAATCTTTGTGTTCTTTCTCGCTTTAAGTTGTTAGTTGCTTTCTTTACAGAGTCACGAAAGCCAGTCTCCAACAGGAGATCTGGGGGTCTCAGATAACAGAACTAATAAAGGTACTGTAAGTGTACAATCCTAGATAGACTTGAATCAGCTACTCCTTTTGAAGGTGTGAGAAATAAATTGATAGACAAAGCATTTTGTACGAACAAATTCATTTCAGTAAGTTGCACTGATAATCTTGGGAGTATGTAAATGGACCTCTATTTTTAGACCCCTTCTATCCATTTTTTGACCAAGCCGAGCAAGCGAAGCGATAGCAATAGTCAATCATTACAAGTAACCAGACCACAAGAGAAAAATGTGCCAGTTGCTAGGTGATGACTTTCAATCTATCATCTTAGGCAATAAATATAAGATGAAGTTATGGGGAGAGAAGCTATTCATAGCTAAAACTCTATCTAAAATGGCTATTATTTATTGCACGGAACTGAAATCAGATGAAGTTGAGGAACCCAGCGTACCAACCCAGGAGCCAGGATGCCACACATTGCAGACGTATCTCAAGGACAAATCCAAAGACAAATGGAGCCAGGGGTTTAGGGGGTGAGTGGAAGAAATAAATGACTGAAAAATCAAGACTCAACCCTGCCACTTATTAATGTTCTAAATTACAAACATGAAAAGGAAAAGATATATTCATTCAAAATCCAGAGGTTTCTTATTTCAGAAATGGAAGAAAATTCTAGCAGCACCTCTCCATTAAAAAGCAAGATACAGTCACGTATCTGACAGACTGGCATACACAGATGTGATGTGAGAGCTGCTCCCGGCTCATGAGAGCATTCATATAGATAATATCAAGAGAACAATCAGAACAGCGCAAGGTTTTACAAATCACTGGATAAAGCCAGGCGTGGTGGCACATGTCTGTAATCCCAGCACTCAGGAGGCTGAGGCAGGAGGACTGCTGAAAGTTTGAGGCCAACCTGGACTACAAAGTGAGTTCAAG